TCAGTCTCAACGTGGTTCTATTCTGTGGAAGTGAATGTCTCAGTGGGCTCCACTCCAGTGTTTTTTTTTTTCTCCCCTCGTTCTTTTTTGTCTCTTTGATCATTCTCCTTCCTCCCTATTGTCGTTTTTTAATCTGTGACGTGATGGGGCGATCTGGATGTTTGGGGTCCTCAGGTGTTCTGGAATGTGCCCGAGTCAAAATATTCTTTAATATTATCCATATTTTAACTCATATCTTTTGCAAAGTGCATACAGTATTTAAGATAATGATACTAAATGGCAGTACAACATGGCCATTAGATGGTCCAGTATTATAGATGTATTTTCACAGATGCTGATTAAAGCATGGATTTATGGCACAATGAAAACCTGTTGACCCTGATACCAGGAGTACCCGCTATAGATTTAGAAGGATTATTTAATCCTTTTGTCTGTGCAGTTATATAATTTTGAAACTTTTGATAAATGGTGTTAATGTGTTGTCATTTCATAAAATGAGATATCCTTTTTTATATTAATTGTCCATCTGCTATCGAACCACTTAACATTCTAAATGATCAATATGTAAATAATGCTGTACAATATATGCTGCTGTCCATTAAAAATCGAACACATTTAAACAGTTCTATCACCGGTTCAGCCTTATAAATAGTACAGATTTGTGTCGCATCACACTTACAGTTTTTATGTTCCGTTGAAGGAATAAGTCGACATTTTGGGAAATATGTTTATTCACTTTGTCTCATAGAGTAAGACGAGTAGATCGATACCACTGACATATGTTTGTTCAGTATAAGGGTACAGTCATCAGCTGGTTAACTTAGCTTAGCTTAGCTTAGCTTAACTAACATCCAGCAAAGTGTTAAAATTACTTACCAAACAAAAGTCACAAATTGTTTTGTTTTTTGGGGGGGGTTTTTTGTACTGATTCAATTTAAACGTAATAATGAATGAGCTTCAGAGGTTCTTGTAGGCAGATAAGGATTAAGACAGAGTCATGCTAGCATGCTAAGCAAATTGACCTTCTCATCCAACTCCATGTAAGATAGAGAATAAACATTTTTCAAAACGTCTGATCTGTTCCTCTTAAAGCCAGCTCTTCAGGGATCAGCACCATGCAGTTATCCTTAGTGTTAGCAGGCCCTTCAGTTACTCATTGTTCATGGAAGACTTGCAGTTGAATTAGCCAACAGCTCCTCAGATACAGTATTTATGTTGTCGCTTTCTCAGCTAAACAAGTTTTTTGTCACAACAATTCTATGAACCAAGACCAAACCAAAGATAAGCCAAATGTGGTGATGTGTTGGTTGAATGTGAGCGAGTGTGACCCCATTCTTTTAATCATTGAGTCTCCCCCCTCTAAAATCGCTCCTGATCTCTCCTCTTTTTTTTCTCCCCCTTTTGTCTTGCATCTCAACAGCCATCAAAGGCTTCTCGCCCCAGCACAAGATCACCAGCTTCGAGGAGGCGAAGGGCCTGGACCGCATAAACGAGAGGATGCCACCGCGACGAGACGCCTTGCCCTCCGACGCCAGTCTCAACTCCCTCAACAAGGCCCTGTCCTCGGAGACCAACGGCACAGACGCCAAGGGAAGCACCAGCAGTGGCAGCAACATCCAGTGAAGGCCTGCAGCAGGCACCACCTTGGCCAACGGGGCTGCCCCGCCCCCAGCCTCATTACGGCCCGCCACCACAGAAAAGGGGCAAAGGGTGAAATAGTAAAAGGATGGGGAGTGTTAAGAGAGCGGAAGGGGGGAGGCATCTATGGCTCACACTGGGGGGACATCTCACTTGCTAGTCTTTGGATATGCCTTCAAAATATTAGTTCATAGTCAAATCTGCTAAGTTATTGCCGGTTCACATTTCTGAACGGTCAGGCCTTTATTGTGCTTGATTCTCCACCATACCACAGTATGTCAGAGAGAGAGAGAGAGAGAGAGAGAGGGATAGAGACATCTTAAAGGTGATTTATTTTCTTTTTTCCTTGAAAGACCCTTGCTCATTTACACCGAAATGGAAAGTCGTGTAACTTCTTACTAACTATTGTACGTTTACAAAAATACAGCACTAAAAAGGACAGAACATGAGATAATGTTTTTAACATATAAGGGTGTACAAACTAAATAAGGACTATTTATTGATAACTTTTTTTTTGCTACTCTTATAAAATAGCTCTGAAATTAATTAGGCAGTCTTAAAAAGAATGTTGCAATGTTGTCGAAATGCCAAATAATGGAACGTTTTATGGTTTTGTACATATTATGCTTACCTCAGGTTCTTTTGGTGTGTGCTTTGACCTGATTTTTCTGTATAATGGCTAAATAACTCGGTAATGAATACCTATTTTCTTGAGTTTCATAACTGGAATTTACATTTACCTATCTATCATTTGCAAATATGTTTATTTTTTGTCTCTTTTGGAAGGGGGGGTAGATTTATTGTGGCTTGCTGGAATTGAGTGTTAATTTTTCTCTTTTTAAGTATTGCGAACAAAGTAAGAATAGAGAACCTATATTGTGTAAAAAAAAGAATACAATAAACTTAAAGTGTCTGCCTATGCATGTTTTATAAAAATCAAACAAAGGAAATAGAAAATCTGAATACCTTGGCTGCGGAGGCCTGTTTTGAAATATATTACGCTTTAGTGAACATATACTGGATATACCTGCATACTTTCAATTAACACCATGATGCTCTATGCCTTCAACTTCTTTTGTAATTGAAGCATTTAATTATCTAAGATGGATGAGAAATCATATTTTTAACCTGCGCTTGTAAGTGCACACAGTCCAATTAAGCATGTTTGACAATTCTTGTGAGGTGTGTGGTTACATGTGTAACTCAAAAATGCATGATTAGCTGTTTGTGTCATATAACAGGTAAATCAGTTTTGTTCTGTTTTGTAAATGTGCCACAGAAAGTGTAATTTGATTATTATTACTATTATTATTTGGAACTCTGCTTTGTATATCAGTTACAGGTTTGATACTGCTCAATACTTTAAGATGAAACTAAAAAAAAATACTTCGATCTTTTTTAAGAACTGCTTAAGTGCCCAAGTAATTCACTACACGACATGAAGCCTTGCTTTTGTAATTTAACTTCAAAACTGTTGGCAGATGAGGCATGCACTTGCAACTATGAAAAGTATTTTATATAACTGTTCAATAAAAATGTGCATGAATTTCAACTTGAAATAAAACCGCTTCGCCTGTGTGTGTGTGTATGCCTGTGTGCGTGAGTGTGTGTGTGCGCGTGTGTGTGACTCAGACTGTCCTACAGTCCTCCGCCAATGAATATGCAACCATGTAAAATAAAATCAAATACATGATACACATAGTCTTTCGGGCATTTTTGCATCGCGAGTGAATAAAGCTGTGTTCTAGAGCTACGTGGTGGTGTGTGTTTTCCAACAAGATTACAGGAAACACACTCGCTGTCGCCCGTAATTCAAACCTGCAGGGAAATGAAAGACTAACAATAGAGACACAATATTTCATTCAAACGGGCAGGAGAGAGAGCTTTAAAGGTCCTTCCATCACTACACACACTCTCTACCATATGGAGTCATCATCCTAACACTGATGTGTGTTCGCTCTATATTATTCTACCGTGTTTTGGCTCTGCTTTGTAAAGTTCCCCTTCAACTGAAGAATTTGCCATTAACTGGCCCCAGTATGTTTATGGGAAATTGCTCCTTGGCAAATCTGCAACAAAGGTGTTTCCTCTTCATCAACCTTAGTGACTTCTTTGATTAAACTACAAAGAAGAGGCCAAGATTACGCAGGCAGGCCTACCTGTGTACGGACAAATATCTGCAGGCTTCCTCCCTTACAAAGATTCAAAAAAAATAATAATTTAATTTAACATGAGTGTACTAAAAGATCAACTTATTTGATTATACTTATTTACATGAATTGGTTTAGCTTTCCCCACCCAAAACAATCCAGCTTACTTCTACTTTCTTAAGCAGTTCTCCTAGCTTTAACTCTAAAATGGACCTACGCAGCCAACATCTTCTTTTCCCTGCTTTCTGAGGTGTCCTTCTTTTGGTCTTTTCAGCCTAAACCAAACACAATGCTCAAGTGAAAGGAAGTAAACTCTGACATCCTGTTTTTTTTCGGGAGGGCCAAATAACAGGAGCTTGATTTTTTGTATCCTCAGAGGGACAATGTGAAAACCAACTGAGTTTGATGTCAAGGAGACATTGAAGTAAACAGCTAATGTTCTGCAGCAGAAATCCTCTTCATGGTGTCGTGTCCACAGTGTCCGTAACATAAGCCATAATAACCTGGCATCTCATATGAAACGATAAAATTTCTTTACAAAACTGCCCGGGAGTCCAACTACCAACTTTAACTCACAAGTAGACACTAGATTTAGATTATGGTAAGCAGCCTCAGCAGTGACCCATCTAAGGTCATGTCCATGCTTTCTGGAAGCACTGTTACATAAACAATGAAGAATAGTAAAACGTCATGGTTGATATTTGAGCAGCACCCCTCTGGGCTTTCTAGACATGACTCTTTGTCATGTGTTCCAGCCGCTGTTTAACAGAACAAACTTCCATTTAGCAATTGTGTTTCTTTTTCTTTGTTTTGTCGATGTGTGCATGTGACAGTCAGTATGAAGTTGATGCAAGTGATGCAAGTGGTTCCCTTTTTTTCTGTGGATGAGGCTTCTGAATCAGTGCCACCATCTCTTCACTGTATCCTACTTCACACATTTGTTTATCTTATCCTATAATTACATATACATACAGTTCTTGGATGTTGTTTTTTTCAAAGCTTGATTGACATCTTTTTTCCAACTGATGTCAAATGAACTTGTTTTCGCACCGTCTGTAAGTCCCAGTCTCCTCCCAACTGGTCAAGTGGTGTCAGAGCAGGAAAAAATAAGTGATGGGAGTTGGCACTGCGTTCAAAACACAAAACTGAGATTCTCATTAAATGTACATAGGTGTGCAACCACTGGCTGCCTTGCGCTGGTCTCCACAACCACCCATTTTACGTCAGGGAGGGAAGTCAGTGTATTTCCTCCCCTTCTTTATCTAAAGGAAGTGCCAAAATAAGCATCAGCAGTGGAGCACCCGAGCTCGGACACCTTTTCCACTGGCCACTCGGTTGGAGTCTGAGAAAGAAGTCAGAGGAGTTCACAGCCGCAGACTCAACATGAAGACAATCAGGGTTCTTGTCCTCCTTCTGCTTGCATCTGTCCACGTCTTCACACCAGGTGGGGGAAACCATTCAAACTGCTTTTTGCTGGGATACATTCTATTAGATATCATAGAATCAGAGCTGGGGGGCCTTTTAAAGTCTTCAGCTCTCCCTAACAAAGATCAGTTACATTAGCCTTGTTTCTGTGCATTGTCAGCATATGGAGGACTAAAAATGGCCTTCTTTACTGATGTGTGAAAATTGAATCTAATATCTTACAGTGTTAAAATATTAACACAATTAGGGTTTCCTATCAAGTTTATAGGCAGAAAATGTATTTATTATTATTTGTGTGTTGTGGAACAGTAGTTGTTGTGATTTATCATGTTAAATTTTACTTGTGTTTTTTTTTTTTTATTGTTTTATTTAATTTTGTTTTGGTATGCAAAAGATAAAGATCACAATGTTGTTCTAAATACACTCACACTTTGAACGTTACCTTGGAGACAATCACTCAAACAGTGTGTTTCCGTTAATTCAGACTGAGATAAGCTCTGTGTGTGGGTGTCTCTCTCTGTGTGTGTGTGTGTGTGTGTGTGTGTGTGTGTGTGTGTGTGTGTGTGTGTGTGTGTGTGTGTGTGTGTGTGGCCTTCAGTTGTCCTCCACTTTAGCAAATAAAAAAAAGATTGCAAGTAGTTTATTATTTTGCCATATTCAGTCGCAGTGACGGTAGAATGTATTTTTTATCACGGATATAAGATATTAAGCCCAAGTGAGAACTTCAGGAATGAAAAATCCCAAGTGCCAAAGTGACAAATGAGAATCTCTTGGTTGAAGGAAAGGAAAAAGAGGAGAGGAGAAGAAGATTTTTTTTTTTTCCTCGTGCAGAGCCAAAATAACTTTTGACTGTGTTTACTGCGCTGGGCAGATAGGTGATCTAGCAGCAGATAGCCAGTGGGAACCAAACTGCCCCCTCTCTCACAAAGACATCAGATCATTGTCCTGAGACCGAAATGTCCCAACTGGCACCAAATCTACTTCCAGCGTTTAGCAGTAAACATCTGGAGGAAACACCCTACCCCAGGCTATAGCCAGAGGCTTTTTTTTTTCCAGAACAGAAAAGCAATGAGAAGAAACAACAAAGATTTCTCTTGAGTCTGGGTTAAACTTCAGTCACAAAAACTGTTACTTGAGACTTACTCCGTAGTGAAAACATTTGAGTCTCAACGTTTGAATGTATAAGACAGAGACTGCAGCCTCACTGCTTGAATAGTTCAAGCAATGTTAACACACTACAAATGTGTAATTTTTATGGTGACTTTAAAAGACTTGACTTGCAATTTCCTTGTGACTTATAAAAACACGGGACTTGACCCAAAGGACTATAGGCATGACTTGAGGCTTTACTCAAAGGACATCAACTGACACTTTTCACACCAAAATACTTGAGACTTTACTTGAACTTATCTGAAATTACTTATATACTTTTGACTGACTTGAGATTTGCTTCAAGACTTGACTTGGACTAAAATGACTTATACAGGACTTGACTTGAGATTTGCCCTAAAATACTTACCCCAGCTTAATTACTATGACTTGTGCCTTGACTTAAAGTTAGGGTCAGACAAAACACTTGCGACTTGCCTCAAATTACTTGAAGGGAGACCTGCACCAAATAATTTAAAACTTAAATTTTGACCGGAATTACTTAAAGGACTCAGCTCTTGAGAAGAAAAACTTGAGACCTGAATTGAGACGTGAATTGAGACCTGACTTGAGACCTGACTTGAAAACTGATTTTTCTTCCTGATGAGACTCACAAAGCCGGACAGAGCTGCATGTGGTCAGTACTGAAACGTGCAGTTCAGCCCTTCAGCGACGGCTCTGGTGTGAAATTTGTTCACTGGTATCCTAGCTGACAGCAGTGAAGACAGGAAGCTTGGCTGCACAAGTCAGGGGACAACAATAGTTTGTCTGGAGCAGGATGCAGCTTCACACTGTTGCAGTGCTTCAAGCAGAGGATATCCACTTCAACATGTCACAACCTCCACCGCAGTCTTGACTTCTCTTCCCCAGTCTGACACTCGGTGCGAGGGCACGTCTTTTTCCCAGACACTGGACTTTAAAGCTGTGCCAAACAGGAATGATGCAAAAATGCTATCTAAAATAGTGAATCCGTCTGAGGAAATGTTTTACGTAGACATACTAATTCAAGGGTTTTCATGACGGAAGCAATTCCTAGATAACATGTTCGTTTTGGATCTTGTCCACTGACCTCCGACAGTGAGGGTGTAAAGCAGTGACTGTGAGCTCAGCGGTTGACAATGCCTTACATGTTACTGTCATTAATCTACAGCAGCAAATCAATAAAGATTCATGGAAGGGCTTACAAAAAGGTCAAACACCACTTTGTAAATGAATATAGTTACTCATTTTACCTGTCACAAAAACTGTTGTATTTCTGCTTTACAGTTGCATCAGATGAAACTGAACAAACACAGGACCCATGTAAGTATGGCATTAATGCAATAGTAATAATGCAGTTCTAACTTTTGGAATATACACTTGTTTGCTTTCTGGCGGAAACACCACTGTAGGTATGGGAGTGTTCTCATCTAGCTCTCCTCCAGAAAACAAATAAGCATATTTCCCAATTTTTTTATGCGGGTGACAAACAGCTCTGTGGGATCTTTGGTTGGGTCAAAGTATAAATTTAGAGTTTACATTCCTTCAGCTTTTCCTTCCTTGTTGTGCCCAGACTCCTCTAAAACGATAACAGATACATGGCCATAGTTGAGTTCTGTTTTTGTTATTTTTATTTTTTTAATTTTATAGATCTTACCCAGCTATTTACATGTCAGTGTCTTTCTTTAGCAGGAGTAACAGCAAAACCAATACCAGCAACTGAACCAAAAACAGAAACTGCAACAACCCCAAAGGCAGAACCATCAACATCCCCAAAAGCAGCACCATCGACATCCCCAAAAGCAGCACCATCGACAACCACAGAAGAAGCGCCATCGACAACCACAGAAGCACCAAAACCTACTGTCGTTGTTCCTGATAGTGTCAACAACACATCTACTAAGAATGGTGCGAGGAAGTCACTGTACCAAAGACAGATAGATAAATACATACAATGCTCCTAACTCATGGGCTTATTTAGTCTACAACTGTAATAGACCTAGGCCCATGTTCCTGAAAAAGGAATGATTGATTGATTTCCCATTTTTATTTTAGCAGCAACTTCGCGTCCAGCTGTACCAATTACTACATCAGCAGAAGGCCACAAGAATATGGTCACCTCACCGCCAGGAATTGAGTCTACATCCAGTAAAAGTTAGATTTCTAAATTTTTTAAATTTTGGTTTAAAGTTTATTGATGATACACAGCTGTATGTCATGGTTTCAACTGTGTGTGCACACATTCTATGGTACAACAATAATGTAAATGAGCAGTTAAATCAACTCTACTTGTATATATATTAAAATTATCATTTTTTTACCCTTCCTCTATTAGCTTTGGGAAATAAAACTTTGCAAACAAGATCTCATGGGAACCATTCTCATAACGTGACAAACATTGAGACTCCAGGTAAGAACATATTTGATAAAACTAGCGTCATCAGTAATGAGCAAGCTTGTGTGCTCTTTACTTAAAGACAGACAATTCAGACAGAAGATACAGCTTGTAAAACCTGATAATGTATGGGTTTAACTGGGAGCAAGGTGTGACCATGCTGAATGTAATCTAAAATGACAACTGTGTTTAAAGCGGTGTGTAAAACAGTTTGAATTTTGTTAGGACCTGATGACAGTACTGAAAAACCCCAAACAAACAAAGGTACGTATCAAATGAACACAACATCACTGCTTCCTTCTATGATAGTCTTGTGACCAGTGATTAAAAATTATGTTTTTAAGAAGTTAAATGTAGACACAAACATTATTTCCAAGTCTGACTCAAATGAAGCTACTGATCTTAATTTTCTACAGGTGCAACTAGTCCTGCCTCCCCAGGTACAGTATATCATTCACACACTACTTTGTACATGTTTTGTCTTTTACAGAACATCCTCCTCTTTTTCCTTCTTTTGCATTTGCATTCATAAAAACAAATGTAATTCCAACATAATATGACATATGATCACAAATGTTCTCTTTGACAGTTGATACACTGTCTGTGAGGTGGATCATTTTATTCAAACTGTTTCATACGTTGAGACTATGAGAATGTCTATTTAAAAACACATCAGAACTTAAAGCTGATATCCTGTATTTGTGATATGTGACATATAGTAAAACTCTATCTAAAATCTATGTAGACTCTGAATTCTGCAGTTGTTAAGATGTTGATTGACAAGTATTTAAGAAAGTAATTCATTCTTTTCAATATGATTGTACCACTTCCAGGGATGACAAAACCCTCAGGTGGAAAGCCTGGAAATAACATGACTGGTAAGCCGTGCTGCATATGAAGCCATGAAAAAAATCATAAATAGTTTTTAATCATACTGGTAAGGAGCAAGCGGCAGAAAACTTATCAAAAAACTCTTACTGTGAAAGGTTCCCAGACTGGCAGTGATGAGGAAGTACCCCCCAAATCAGGTAATGTACTGAACTTTACTAAAGTGTCCTCTGTTGAACTTGTCAGTCATACCCCGTCAAACTAGGTGATTTCATCAAAATCAGACCAGATGTAGCAGTTGCAAACAGCCTCACAATGACATGCTAAGCAGGTATATGTTTGCCATGTTCACCATCATAGTTTAGCGTGCCAACATTCCCTAATTTGCACTCAACACAGGATACAGCTGACACTGATGGCTATGTCACTGGTTTTGTTCGTTTTAGGTGAAAAACTACACTAAAGTTTCACAACCTGTGCTAGATGAAAAGTTAAGGGATCACCAAATTCTATGCCAATCCATCCCACAGATCTCAACCTCATGGAGGCGCTAGGATCACAAATGCCGCTGAGGAAAACTGAATGGCTATCCATCCAGTAGTTGTCAAGTCTCGACCAAAATAATGGACCAACTGACAGATACTTGAGCTATGATGCTAGTGTGCTAAAAAAAATACCTTGTCATATCCCACAGCAAACCAATTTCCTTTGCATCATAACTACCCATCATACCTCCAAATTTAACCAAAATCTAACCACTTTGTGAGACAATTAAAACTACATTGATGTTTCCTTCAATTTTACCCTCAGACAAAAGGCTGTGGTGGATTCTGTTGCCTGTCCTCCTGGTTGTAGCTGCTGCGATGATTGTCCTCAGGTTCAAATGCAAGAAGATCCACGATCACACAGGTACGTATACTGTGGGTTGCACAATGTACTAAAATATGGTATATCACATAGTGCATCAATATATTGTGAACTCTGAGCTGTAATTATTAATGGATCAAGGTCCAGTGTGTAACATTTAGGAGGCAGAAATGGAATATAATATGTCTAACTATGTTTTCATTAGTGTATAATCATCTGAATCGTTGTGTTTGTTGAACCACCATGTTTATACTGTAGCCCAGAAGGGACAAACCAAACACTGGCTGAAGATAGATCCTATTTGTGTTTCTCATGTGTTTACCGGCCACTGGTGTCTTACGGGTAGGTGAAGCGAGGGAACTGTAATCTGCAACCACACCACCAGATGCCACTAAATCCTACACACTGGTCCTGAGAAGATCCATATTTTTGATATTTAATGAGATAAAAAAAATATATATATATTTAATGTGTTCTCTGGTCTTCTGTTCGACAGAAACCATCGATACTGGAACTGAGAAGTAAGTTTGAGTAAGTTATGGCCTGAATTTAAAAGGTGTGTGAACAACTAAAACATTCATCCCTTTTCCTCTGGTGCTCTCTCACAGCGCGTCTTTTCAGAGCAGACCTGAAAGCACCAAAGATGGTGTCATGCTCCTCGGCGTGAAGTCGTCAGGCGGAGAAGAAAATGGTGAGCTGCCTTCCGTCTATTTCCTGTGAACGGTCCTTCCAAGTTCCTTCTGTTTGTGCATTCTTCCGTTACTTGGTAAAACTGTTTCTCCAGACACAGACTTGCAATTATTCCAGGGAAGTCTCAGGCTTTTAATATCTCATTGTACTGTACAGGCTTATGGGGCTTTGCTGGGCAACAGAAGGTGTTTCCTGTGATTTCGCGCCCCCACCCTCGAACAAGCAGCAGGGCTTGAAAGATAGGGACTTCCTAACATAAACACAGATTATTTTGGACGGGAGCTATTGTACAGCCAGTAAATGTCACTGTAGCCCAGACGCTGCAGGCGTGTGCTTGTTTGTCAGTGAGGTGAATGTATGTGCACATCCACGGGTGAGCATGTGTCATACATGGTTTGTAAACAGGCTCAGTACCTCTACACCCCACCCGTGAAAAAAAGAAATCTGGGCACTGCATGTCCTGCCTTCCTTCCCTAATACAATCTGGCCTCCATGACTTGGCTGAAAGCTTTAGAGGGAAATGGAGTCATGCTTTAGGAATTTTGCTGAGGAAGAAAGTGTTTATGTTGTTACAGACTACTGAATTTCTTTGGATTGTAGTTTTATACATTCTTATCTGACTGCTAAACTTGTTGCACATATATACTGCACTCCATGTAGATAAAACCTTCAGCAATCCCACGGTCATGAACATAAAGCTAACCAACAAAAACTGCTTTTTTGCTGACTTAATTAGCTTAAAATCCTAAATGTAATACAATGAGTTCAGGTCGGCTACAGGAAAGCGTACCACTGGTTTCAGATTAGCATTTGGATCAGAGAACGTGGGAACATTTCCCACCATGGTCCTAATCAATATGAGATACTGTCCTATTGTGCCTAGTCAGTGCAACAGTGCCGTCTAGTGTTGAAGGCACAAATGATCATCAGAACACAATTCACAGCATTATGTTGAGCAGGTTGGATACAGATCTCATTTTTTGATCACACAGATGTGGTTTTATCCTCGTGTGATTTCATCACCTGCCCCCTGCTGTTATGTCTGTTTCAGCTGCTGCAAGATAAAAAAGAAGGACTGAAACATCAAGATCAGCCAGCGGATGAGTCACACCTGTCGCCCACACGCTGATGGTCTGGAGGAGCTGTTTAGATGTTTGATTTCTTTTTTGTGAAACATTTTGTGAGGCCAGGAACAGCAGGTTTTGTGTATGATTCTTCATGTATGAAGCAGAAAAGTGTTGGAGAGCGGGTTTATTTTATGTATGATTCTGTATGCTGAAACCAGTATTATAAAGCAGCGTGTGTGACTGTGATCATATATAAAGAATAAAAGAACTTAACACAGTAAATCTCTTTGATAGCTAAATACCGCAAGCACACAAACCATTGCTTGTGGAATATAGTAAATAAAAACGTAACCTATACACCCTTTATTTCAGTATACTGTTGACCAAGACAAACCTAAATATAACTGCATAGCTAATTTCTGTCTACATGCTGGGCCACAAGACACATTTTCTGTACAGTACACTGACCTCAGATCTAGCACATATTTGATGTAATGAATCACTATTCACGTCATAGTTTTATAATTATCTTTTTGTTTCGTTTATCTACTGTTTTGTAGATTATGTTTTGTGTGTCACCAAAAAAAAAAAACTGGAACTGGCTCATTTGAGGTGTACTCCATTTTAACTTTCTATGTATTTCATTAAAGCATTTCTTAAAAGGAGGTAGTTAAATATTCCACGGGGCTTCGCACAGCGTGTCTGTGTGAGCCTTTAGCTGAACTCAAAGGTGGATTTGCATTAACAGTGTTTCTTTTCAGCAAATACAACACTCAAGCTCAAGGACTAAGTAAAGCGGGCGCAGAAGGTTGTATTTAAAGACACTGGAACTGTTTATGGCTGGAATTTGTAGTTCTCAGTTTCAACAATAAATCACTAGAAAATCATTTGGTTGTGCAGCTTCAGTTCATCAAGTTTTGGTCATATCTTTATTTATTTGGTTCAATATCACATTTTGAATGACTTAAACTCACACTTCAAAGTTATATAATCTAATAACACTTTATTTCAAACATATGCCGCATATTAAGTCAATCACATTACTGACATTTGACTTTAAAATCCTCAAAAAACTCTCTATATATTTATTATTATTAGCTTTTCTTATGTGGTTTTCGGAAAACCTGTTGTTTTTTTGTTGTCATTACTTATAAATAGGGTGTAATCATACAGAGTGTGTAATCCAGATCACCACCAACAGTGTCAGTTCAATGATTCACCACTAGAGAGAGTAGTCAGCACAGAGAAAGCAACCATGGTTTCGGCCCCAGTTCATAAGCTAGTGTTTATTGCAGAGAGGTTCATGAGGTTGTTGAGAGAGGAGTGACATTTAGACAACCAGTGTCATACCAATCATACACACTCTCATGACCAATGTCACCAGATCTTCACACAGTGTTTTCTTTACAGAACTAATTCAGCTTTCATTTCATGCTATAAATTCAAATGACTTTTGCCATTTTATAGCCCCGACCTCCATTTTGAATTGATTCACACACGTGGTTGTAAGGCTCTATCTGTGGCCTTTGTAAGCTGAGACTGGGTAACAGCTTCGACCATGGGCTCTTTCCCTCAAAGAGACAGTGGGCAGATTGGCAGAGGGCCCATCACACACCACTATAATGCAATACCAGCTGTGGCATGGGCTGAGTTACATTCAGGATGCCATGCCAGGCTCCTTCAGCTTCACTCTACAATTTATAGTGTTTAGTCTCCCTCTTTAGGCCAAGTATCTACTCACTGTGAAAAGTCAATACAGAAGTTAGAATTCATTTCAACCAAGTGCCTTTTCCTCCAAAATCGAACCCTGCTGAATATTTCCTTTGTAAGGCGGCAGTCTCATTGATCTACTGTATGCTTCAGAGACCTAATGGAGGTAATTTCCACATATTAAATCTCTAAATCTGCAGCACAGTAGGGAAATGTAACATTTTAGAACAATGATAATTGCCCCCTTAAGAGTGTTTCTCTAGAGAGAAAACATTATTTGACTCAGTTAAAATTTTCTTTAGAAAATGGGATTCTCGGATTGTCTTGAATCATTGAGTGACACAACAATTGGCCCAAACGGAAGCTAAAACTGAATATTTTGCTCTGTTTAATTTAGGATGCCCAATTGGACACAAATATTAGAGATGTGGTATTACTGCAGAGGAAATGTATTAATTAAGTAATTCTCAATGGAGCCCTTGTGTTTGTCAAATAGAGTCCATTGGCTTCAGTGGGCTTTGGTCTTTTTATTCTAGTGCCTCATGTTGCTCATTTGTAAATGAACTCATCGGTAAAAGCTGTTACTTCAGTAAGTAGTACTGGTAAGTACTGACATCAAAATAAATTTAAGGTACTACACGTAAAAGTACTCATGCAGAATGGCCCATTTCAGAATCCTGTATATCATATTACTGGATTATAGTTATGCATTTATGTGTAAACATCAGTTAAATGTTTCAGCTCAAGGTGGGGGTAATTCTAATGACTTAATAAACTGCTGGAATGTATAAAAATACTTTATGATTTATATTTTATATATTATTTTTTATAAGTATTTAGTGACTAAAGCTGTCAAATAAATGTAGTATGTTTTTGTAGGTTTGCAGGTGAAGCTTCTTCCACAATGTTTGTCTATTAATTTCATTGGGTGTCTAATATTTGCAGGTCTGTTAAACCTTATCTGTACATTATAAATAAAAAAAATTACCAGGCAACACCAATAAACCACTTCATTATCACAATAAATATTACAGTTAACTGCAAGAGTGTCTTGTCAGACAGAATCAGTTGAAGAGGAGCTGAGTAACAAATAGAGCATTAAAAGGAACATGATTTATCTGAATAAATAACAAATAAAGGAATGTTTTGTCTGTTGGTTCTGACAAAGAAAAAAACTATTAAATTTTTTAACTTTTTCTCTTGAGAGAACTAACTTATTTGGTTAAGACGTGTCAGCAGTGTTCAAGACCAGTAAGGCTCTGATATGCACGAGGAATACTCCTGCACATGCAACCAGCTATCTCCAGTGGAGATAGAGAAATGCAACTCAGCAAAAAGGCTCCTGTTGTTAAATTTCATGGGGGGAAAGGAGGAGGGTGCGACAAGAGACACATTTCACTGAGAGGAGAGTGGTGCCAGACTGGCATACCAGGGGTCTTGACGGGGGATAACAGAAGGTTCATCTGAACTACGGTGGATTAGTAACCTGAAACACAACACGTTTTAGCTTTTGCTTCATTTAGGGAAACAGGAATTGGCACGTGTTATAAGTTCGCAAGCAGAATTTGGTTGACTCGCCTTACCAAGGGAGTGAAGGTCATTCCACTACACTAGTACACTAGTATTACTAGCCTAGTCTCTGCTTTTTTACTCTCTCTTGTATTGTCATTGCAAAAGAGAAAGATTAATTTAACTTTTATTAACAAGTGAAATCCAAATCAGATTATAAGTCCTTAAAAAACTCTGGCCAGTGTGAGAGGAGCACAGAAGGCTACAGACAGATGGGGCCACACATAAAAAAGCTAAGTTTATATAGAATGTAATGCAGGGACATGGGAAACATTTTAAGCACTGACAGCAACAAATGGATTGATCTTCCAGAGAAATGATAGTTGCTGTAAACACACTGGGTCTTCTGAGCCCTCTGCTGCAGAGTATTATTTCATGAGTTCAGAGATCACAATGGCTTTCTCTCTGAACTCTGTTTGAGCTGTAAGGACAATCACATTTTGGGTCCACAAACGATATTGATTATATCTAAACTGTTGTTTTAATAGTTTACCTAATACTCAAATAGAAATTGTTGCATCCCTGAAAGCTTCACAACTGTGCAAATAAAAGTAATTTTGTTTGCCGTGTTGATTTGTTCCCAAATGATTTTCAGTTGTATGAATCTGCTGCAGTCTTTCACTTTAACACTAGTTATGCATGGAGGCAAAACTGTGGAGATAATTTTCCCTCTATGGTGGCACAATGTGCAAGAAAATGTGCCTTCTAGGGCGCCCTTCCAGCAGAGAAATTGCGATGCAGTGGCCATGTAGGTTGCCATACATGCAACAAAAGGGTTTGGAACTTTTTTACCATAAATGCATCATGACTTTCTGTCTGCTGCTGCTCTTTTTATTTTTTCTTCACCCCTGCCCCCAAACAGCCTGAGTCTGCCACTGCATCAAATAACATTGCTCTCACAGCTAAATATGGTCACTTCATTGCCTTGAATTTATTGCTTTATATATGATTGTATGCCTCTGCTGTAGACATTGCAGTGATCAGTGCATGTCTGCACAACTTTATTTTAACCCAGGCTGCACAGTTAACCCACATTGTGGCAAATTATGACAGCATCTGCAGATAAGACCTAGACACTATAGGGACAGGTTTCAGGCTGTGTCTGCTATAAAAGTGTTTTTTATTCTCCTCACAGCAAATGTTTACTAAAATGTTTCAGTGAAGCTCACCCTCAAGAATCAAGGTATTAATAGGATATAAAAGTATTGATACTATTTTCAGCTTTACTTGGCTGATCTGCATTCAGAAGCTATTTTAAGCCTTTAACGAGTCTTTTCCTGCTTGTTAAGTTGTTACGATACACTGTACAATGTGGGCTACTGAATAACAGCTTTCTCAGCAACATAGTGACCTTGTATATTCAACATGAATTTAGGTCAAAACCTCATTAAAACCACTGTCATAATCACAGCTGATGCTATGCAGTTTCTGAAGTGTGGTCTCAGCTCCTGGTTCAGAAATGTTTCATGTCTTTGTCATCTATGTATACATTGTAGCTGATGAATGATCAAATAGCCAATATTGCTATTATTATTTTCTGCCCCTTGATTAGCACAATATCATCCCCTGCTAATATCAAAGTCTTTTGCACAAAACCTAAACAAAAGCTTTGATTATCGAGCAGTTTACACAGTGTATGCTTGAATCAACAAAGGCAGTAACACTAGCGAAAGCATGTGACTTTTTTTCTGAGGCATATCTAGTTCTCCCCATGTGACTGGAGGAAAGCTCTCTCTCTCTCTCTCTCTCTCTCTCTCTCTCTCTCTCTCTCTCTCTCTCTCTCTCTCCCTCTAGTCAACTGGATTCCATTACCCTTTAGCCAGCAGAGCTGCTGGGGGTGAGAGGGCCAGATCCAGTTACTGGGAGAAAATGTCTGTTGAGACAGTGTATGATGAGGGATAAACTGCTGATGAGCTGAACAACTGTGCTCAGTGTTTTACCTGCCAAATGTACACACTCATACAAATACAGTAAGATGAGACATTTTGGTTCAGTAAGCGTGGTCAAGCAGGGGCTTCCTCCTTCCTTATGGTCAGACAACAGATGTCGGTTTTGATTTGTTTTGGACATCCATCTGCGAGAATGTTTTCCTAATTTTGCACACAATTACATACCAGTCGGAGGTGAAAGCCACTCATTCATTCTCTGAACTCATCCATAATATGTGGGTTTTTTTAAAATAGCAATCACTAATAATGCTTCATTTTGCTGCAGACCCCTAGACTCTGTTGGATTGGTATGTGAGGGTTCCGCAGCACTGCTATTGAGGTCAAGCAAAGGAACTCTACATTCATGCTTCTGTCTCTTATTTCAAGACCAGTACTGTGTTTGAATGTTTATTCTGTTGAAAATGTAGATTGTCCTTTTCAGTAATTCTTTCCTTTTATTATTTTAATTCCTTAAAATTGGAATAAATACAACATTTTATGTATGGGGTTAGTTGTCTAATCAGAGGTGTAGGTATGAACTGTGAACTCCAGTTGGTTTGCTTTAGGAGGTTGGGTATCTAGTAAAAAACATATGATTTTAACAAAAAAAATTATCTACATTTATCGGCACACTGTCAAAGCCTCATGGGAGATGTAGTTGTTGAATACTGTAGGCTAAA